GAGTCCAGAATTTTTCCATTAGCTCGTTGAGTCCAATTGCACAAATGGATGCGGAGTTGTGTGCAGACCTGATTTTTCCTGCCACAATCCATCCCAATTTTGTATTTTGCAGCAACGGGCCTCCTGAATTTGGCTGTTTTTGATCTGGAAGTAGAATCGAATAATAGTGCTCTGCTCCGATGAGCATGTCGACTTTTCCCGGTTTATAGAAAAAACGAGAAGGAACGTGTGAGTCGCTTCTGGGGACGCGACTCTACTTATACCCGTACTCAGTCAGTATATACATTTTTGAGCTTATGATTTTTTAGAATTTTAGAAAGAAAAAAAAACTTTACATTTTAAATTTTTTTGCTACATCTGCTATCTACATCTACATATACAATGTGTATTCTACATCTAACATGTAGATTGTACATGTTCCATTTCGATTCTACATCTCCTCCGCTAGGGGTTGCTCGCGCACTGAACGCGTCAGAGTGTGCGAGCGAGATGGAAAATGAGTTGCGTTGTCGTTTGCTGGAGGGTGGGAAGGGGAAGCAGCTGAAAATTAATTTCTTCATTCTGGCTATAATTATGATCCGATCTGATTCAGATTCGGCAATCTGGTAGATATGGTCATTCTCTACGATACTGCGTTTTGTTTAATCGTATCTTTAAAATTGTGGCTGCCACAGATTTTCGTCCTTTGTGGGAGGGGAAGGGGGCGGGGCGAAATTTTGAAATACACTTGTAGCAGTGTGATATCACATGAGTCTGGAAACAAAATTTGGTTCCTCTAGGTTTTATAGTCTCTGAGATCCAGGCGTCAAACAAGACGGACAGATGGACACACAGACATGGCTCTATCGAATCGGCTATTGATGCTGATCAAGAATATATATACTTTATGGGGTCGGACAATTTTCCTTCTCTGCGTTACACACATCCACTTTTACCACAAATCTAATATACCCCTTAACTCTTTTTTGAGTACGGGTATAAAAAAATACTTAAGAAATGTTGAGAGTGCGTATTTATTATGGGGGTGGATTGCACTTGGAGTATGGCAATGTATGGTCGTGTATGTATGTACTTATGTAGATCAGCCGTTCTTGTGAACTGGAATTTTTGTTGTCTTTTTTTGTGCGGCTGGATTTGGGTGAATATTTATATATTTGAATTCACAAGGGTAAGCACAGACAAAGCGGAATGGATGCACTACCGTAACACTGGTAACACTAGTCAACACGATTTTTCCTCAAGGAACAAAACGAACTTTTTCTTAAAGATTTGGGGCTTAGAAATGGTTTCATGATACTTTTTTTTTTCTATGGCAGAACTTTTTTTCAAAGAATTTTTGAAAACTGGTATTTTTTTTTAAAGCTTTTTTCAAAGGTAGCGCTTGTTTTTTATACCCGTACTCAAAAAAGAGTTAAGGGGTATATTAGATTTGTGGTAAAAGTGGATGTGTGTAACGCAGAGAAGGAAAATTTTCCGACCCCATAAAGTATATATATTCTTGATCAGCATCAATAGCCAAGTCGATATAGCCATGTCTGTCTGTCCGTCCGTCCGTCCGTCCGTCCGTCTTTATGAGCGCCTGGATCTCAGAGAATATAAGAGTTAGGGTAACCAAATTTGGTTTCCAGACTCATGTGATATCACACTGCTACAAGTGTATTTCAAAATTTCGCCCCGCCCCCTTCCGCCCACACAAAGGACGAAAATCTGTGGCAGGCACATTTTTAAAGATACGATTAAACTAAAAACGCATTATCGTAGAAAATGCCCATATCTACCAGACTGCCGAATCTGAATCAGATCGGATCATAATTATAGCCAGAATGAAGAAATTCATTTTCAGCTGCTTCCCCTTCCCCCTCCAGCAAACGACAACGCAACTCATTTTCCTTCTCGCTCGCACACTCTGCCGCGTTCAGTGCGCGAGCAACCCCTAGCGGAGGAGATGTAGAATATAAATGGTACATGTATAATCTACATGTTAGATGTAGAATATACACAATATATGTAGATGTAGATAACAGATGTAGCAAAAAAAATGTAAAATGTAAAATTTTTTTTTTTTTTAATTCTAGAATTCTAAAAAATTATATGCTCAAAAATGTATATGCTGACTGAGTACGGGTATAAGTAGAGTCGCGTCCCCAGAAGCGACTTGCACGTTCCTTCTCGTTTCACATAACTCTAGTATCTTACGTCTGGTTGTAAAGAACTTTGCTATTTTGAAAAGATAATTAAAACAGCTAGAAGTTAAGCCCAAACACTTTGTGATTACAGCCTACCGTCTGGGAAATATAAAGCATTGAAATGCAAAAATGATGATTTTTGTACGGTATTTTTTACGAAATTTTGACTTTAAAAACTCAGGAAAAGTCGAAAACAAATTATATCCTGTGACCTGTATTTTTTTGTGTATAGGTGCATTAATTTGGCGTCGTTTAAGGTATCGTCAATTGGGAATTGGGATCGCGATCAAGTACCAAATGTACAACCCTTTTTCGTTTGCTTTGTTCCCAATTGGCAGTTGGGCCCGCAACCTTCGAAAAGGTATTTTTTGTTAATTTTTCCCATATTTTAGGTTTGGTTAACGAATTTTAGCTCCAAAGTCTCTCCATAGATTTTAATGAGCGATACCTGGAACGACGCCAAATTAAGGCACCTATACACAAAAAAATAGAGGACACAGGATATAATTTTTTTTCGACTTTTCCTGAGTTTTTAAAGTCAAAATTTCGTAAAAAATACCGCACAAAAATCATCATTTTTGCATTTCAATGCTTTATATTTCCCAGACGGTAAGCTGTAATCACAAAAAGTTTGGGCTTAACTTCTAGCTGTTTTAATTATCTTTTCAAAATAGCAAAGTTCTTTACAACCAGACGTAAGATACTAGAGCTATGTGAAAAAAACAAGCGCTACCTCTGAAAAAAGCTTAAAAAAAAAAAATACCAGACTTCAAAAATTCTTCAAAAAAAAGTTCTGCCATAGAAAAAAAACCATAATACTTTAAAAAATTTTAAAGCCCCATATCTATCAGAAAAAGTCGGTTTGGATCCTTGAGGAAAAAAAAAGTTCGATTTTGTCGAGTAGTGTAATATGGCGTTCGCGAAAAAGAAAGTAAAACAGAAACTGGATAGCAATGTATGAACAGATATGTATATAAGAATATATATATGTACATTAGGCTGGGCCAAAATTTTACCAACCTTTTTTTTTTTTTGTTTTTTCAAGGGGACTCCACCCAATTATGTTCTTTGTTATTCAATAAAATTATAAAATATTTTTCCAATTTTTAGTTTATACATTAAAAAAAAATTTAATTTAGTTACTGTTAAAAAATTAACTATTGGTGAATATCAAGAAGTTTAGCTGAGGTTGATATATTTAGTTAACTAGTTCGCAAAAACTTGTGCAGGGTTTTTACTGACAATAACTGATTAATGACGATATGAATGGTATCAATATATATGCAATAGATTTCACCAATTATCCAACTTATTCAGCAAAAAATGTTTTTTTTAAATTTTTTTATTAAATTTTTTTTTTAATTCGGTAGCAACATCTAAAAAATAAAAGAAAATAAAAATAGCATGTATCATAACATGTATAACGTGTATTAAATCCAAGGTAACAAAACTAGGGGGTGTCCCGTTTGAATTTCGAAAAATCATTTTTTTGCCCCGCCTAATATACATATATCGCTGAACTCGGACTTGGCGGATCGCACTCGGATTTGGGAAGACGAAATCGTACTTATCGTCGGAACGTAGCGATGTAATCCACCGATGCTTGAAGGTTGGACTCCTCCTTATGGGGAAGGTAAAGATCCGGCTCGAAGGACCAATGTTTGTAGGAGGGTGGATTTGGTCGGGTCGGCTTCGCATCCCCAAGAGTATTATTCCCAATAAAAGTTTTCAGATGGTGCTTTAAAGTATCGCTGGTATATTGTTGGATCGTTACAGATATACGCGGAGCTTGTATGCTTTGGCGGGGGTGGAATCGATACTGACTCTCTTGTTTAGACACAGCTCGGCCGACGGCTAGTTCCCGTGATGGAGAGCCAGGTGGATCGCATTCACGCAGCGCAAAAGCGAAAGGCATGGGAGAGCGCGCGAGCTAACAGACCGATGTTAACGACATTAACAGCGCTGCTGCCCTAAACACAAAGAATGCCAACTGTACGATATTTGTAGTAAATGGACCCCATTTTATATATAACCAATCAATGCTTGTTTACTTGGTATGTAATTCCAATTTTTAAACAAGTAAAATAAAACGGGAAGGAACGTGTGAGTCGCTTCTGGGGACGCGACTCTACTTTTATAATCGTACTCAGTCAGTATATACACTTGTCAGCTTATCATTTATGTAGAATTAAAAAAAATTATACATTTTATATTTTTTTGCTACATCTGTTATCTACATCTACAATGTATAGTCTATATCTGACATGTAGATTCTACATCTTCTCCGGTGGCGGGCACTCACGTTCTAAACGAGGCAGAGTGTGCGAGCAAGAAAGAGAGTGAGTAGCGGGTCTCTTGCTCTAGGAGGCGGGGAATTTATTTTCTTTATTCTGGCTATAATTATGATCCGATCTGCTTTCGATTCGGCAGTAGATATGGTCATTCTCTACGATACTGCGTTTTTAGTTTTATCGCATCTTTAAAATTGTGGCTGCCACAGATTTTAGTCCTTTGTGGAGTCGGAAAGTGGCGGCGCGAAATTTCAAAATACACTTGTAGCTCGGCTATTGATGCTGATACAAATTTTGTATACTTTGTCGGGTTGGAAACGTTTCCTTCTCTGACATTGAATCATAAAGGGACTTTAAATATTTAAAGAATATTTCGCTTCAGGCGTTTTGAGTATGAATGCAAAATTATAATATGTTAATCACGTGAACCTAATGCCCTGCGCACTAGGGGATCGCCCCCTAGTATGTCTATATATATATATATAAAATTTAGATTTTGCTCACACATATATAAATTTTATAGAAACCGGTACGCGTTGGAAGGACTACATATTGGTGACTCTGTTGTTAAGCGCTATTATTGGTTGTTGGTATGCTTACCAGCAAAATAAAAATGCCAAGCGTCACCTACGACGTATGGCACAGGATATGGAAGGATTGCAGAAAGCCGAGCAAAGTCTACAGGAGATGCAGAAGGTTTGTTTGTTTGATAAAAAGTATGTCAAATAATTTGTTCTATATTGCAGGAGCTAGAGCGGGCTAGAATGGAACAGGAAAATGTGGCAACGGAAAAAATGGATCTAGAACGGCGTCTTAAAGAGGCACCCTCTCTTAGCTCATCAAATTCAGACTTAGAAGTGTTGCAGCTAAAAAAAGAAGTTGAAATGTTGCGAAATGAATTGTCGCGGGCCGAGTTCGAGTTGGTTGATAATTGCTGGGCCCCACCTCCGCAGCTTCAATCATGGTTGCAATACACATATGAACTAGAAAGTAAAAATCATCAAAAGAAGCGTGCATCTGCAGAGAAGCAGCTTCAGTCAGCAAGAGAGGCATGTGAAAAATTACGTAAGAAGCGTTCGAGTTTGGTAGGAGCATTTGTGTCTACCCACGGGAAAAGTATTGATGACGTTGATCGTTCAATTGTTGAGGCACGCAATGCCCTAGGAGAAGTAACAAATGAACTACAAGAACGCTTGCATCGCTGGAAACAAATTGAAACGTGCCTTGGAATAAACATCGTAAATAACAATGGATTGTCATATTTGGAAAATGTGCTGTATGGTCGCAATGGTGGCTTACAAGGTTCGATTGGTGTAAGTGGTGCAAAAGGATCAAGAAGTAAGTATATATTTGTTTTTAATTTAATTTGGTACTAATCCGATATGTGCCATTTTTTTTTTTTTCGGTTTAAACAGCACGAATTACTAGCAGTACTGATGACCTAGATGACGAGTCCGTGCAAGGTAAGCTGAACTTTGAGAACTTTTCACTGCTCGCTACGGAATAAACCAGCTGCGTCCGATTGCCACAGGCAGAACAACAGCTCATCAATAAAAATACAAGCAAACTGACAACTTACAGATAGTAAGAAACAGAGCTGGATTGCCCTTTATTTTTTGAGCCTTATTGAAATTTAAAAAATATCAGATTCTTGTTAATGAAGGTCATGTATTAACGATTATATATAAAATTGTAATATAAATTTGTATCTTATTATTGATGTAGTTAAAATTGCATCTATTATGTTATATACAAATATTTTTCAAACACTAGCACAAAAGACGTGATATACTTTGAAATGTTATGCACGTATTGAATGTACTTATAAATAATTTACATTAATTTTAATTTGTTACATAAATAAATCGCTAATCTTTTATAATGGCTTGCCGCTATCTGCTGTACTTTCTAAAACTTTGCAGAAAAAATAGAACTTGAAATATGCCGTTCAGTTTAAATAGAACAGCTAATTTTATGCTTTAATTAAAAAAAAAAATTTTTTAATCATTATTTTAACATTATATGACAAAGAAACATCACGATTACATAGCTTACTGTTACTTTAATAGCAACTTATACTATGGACTTCGGAACAATTGTCTTAAATTAGAGTTACAAGGAATTAACGGAGCGATAGCTATGAATGGATGATACAGGCGTTACTTCCTACAGCTTTCTGTTGGTCAGGTCGGGTGGGTGGACATGGGCAAGTCTGCTTAGATTTCTGCATCTGGTAAGTCTCATTGCTAGGACGTTGGGCGACTCCTTAGCTTGGCCATGTACCTTTCAGCCTGCTGATTTATAACATCCCGACCAGGGGGACACTGAGGCGATGCGTACGTTTCTGACGAACCATTCTGATCCAGTGATCTTCCGTAGGAACTTTCTCTGGAAGGTGCGGATCCTGGTTAGGTGCGTCTTTGCTGCTATGGCGTAGACCTGGACTACGTACCTCCATACTGGAGCCAGGACTGCCTTGTAGATCAGGACTTTGTTCGAGATGCTAAGCTTGGAGCTGACCACTGTACACTTGTCCCGACTCACGCATACGTTCAACCTGCACGTCCAGTTCTCGAACCTTTTGAGGTACATCTGTAGATTGTCGGTTGCGTCGAAACTAGCGCTCGACATCACGGCCGTGTCGTCTGAAAATTTTGCGACGTTGATGACGTGGTGCTGAGACGGGCGGACAACCTCAGGCTTCGGCATATCATACGTGAACAGGGGGTAGAGCAACGGCCCTAGCACGCTGCCTTGTGGAACGCCGGCACGAATGCAATTTACAAATTGCCTCGTGGACAGGAAACTTTTCGTCATCGTGTACAGCTGGGGATTGATCAAAGCCACACCCGGTCGAACACCTGCTGGATGTCCAAGTACTGGAATGGAGGGATCGCTGCTCCAATGGCAGGGGTGTCTATTAGTCTCCTCAAAATGCAGCGCTCTAGGAGTTTTCCAAATATTGGCAGCAAGTTAATTAGCCTGTAGTTGCCCGAGTCCTCCAGCGACTCGTGAAGCATCCTGTCCATGCCCTTAGTCCTAGACTTAGCCAGCTCTTGCCGGACTCGGTTTGTCACCCTTTTAAAAAGTCTGTCAACCAGTCATTGGTACGAATGTACTCTCGACTGAGTCGCATCTTGAGAAGAAGCAGCCCTTCGCTTGAGCAACATGATTCGCGCGCACTTCCAGGCCTTAGGAATGTGTCCTAGCCTCAGTGCGGCATTGAATATAAGGACCATGTACAACTGTTCTCTGAAAGGCAGCACCTTTCACTTGGTTTTACTTTTACTTGGTTATCGGTGTTGTCGTTGCCCGGGGTCTTTTAACCCTTCAGCTTTCGAATGCTCCATTTGGTGCCTCCAAATAGGGAAGTTTGGAGTGGCTTGCCTCTTATAGCGGTTAGTGAGTTTCCAGAGGGTGTAGTTGGACTTTTCGTTAGTAGTCGCTTCGTGAAGCATCCTGTCCATGACCTTAGTCCAAGACATAGCCAGCTCTTGCCGGACTCGGTTTGACACCCTTTTAAAAAGTCTGTCAACCAGTCATTGGTACGAATGTACTCTCGACTGAGTCGCTTCTTGAGAAGAAGCAGCCCTTCGATTTCACTCAAAATGCTGCCTCTGGGGATACCTGTCCATGATGTCTGAGTGCCGTGTGGGCTGTAGGTGATTGCAGCTGCAGCAGCATCATGAACTTTGGCCACGAGAGTGACGAACGCATCGTCTACTTCCTCAGTGGTTCTTAGGTTTGTGTTTAGGTCCAGTGAGCCTCCTAGAACGTCCCTGAACAGGGACCCTAAACATTTGAGCTGGGTTTCAGAAGTCCCGTCATCGCTGGGGTCATCTGATGCGTTGTCGCAAGAGTGGCAATAAGAGGCAGGTGGTCGGAGCTGAGGTCATGCTCTTCTCGGGGAATGGCTGCTGGGGATCGATTTGTGAATGAAGAAATCCAGTCAGGAGGGCCTTGATCTCCGATATGATGGATAGAATATGGGGCTGCCTGTCGCTAGTATTTGGGCCGAACCATTGGTTAGGGCGTCGTGTAGCTCTCTTCGCCTGTGGTCTCCTCTGTGGCTGTCCTGTGCTTCGCGTTTTAGTCCCTCCAATGATTAATCGGCTGCCTAACTGGGCCAGAAGATAGCCAAGTCTGCGCTGGAGCATTGGATCGTTTGAGGCAGATAGGCAGAAGCCACAAGGATCTCCCCACGCTGCGTTTGGATCATGACCGCCATCAGTTGTATAGAATCTCGACTAACAGCATGGAGATGATAGTGAGCTATATTATTTTTGATCAGTAGAGCTGAATACAATTACAAATATGGGCAACTCAAAATAAAAGCTGGGAAAGTTTATGTTTTCAACCTTTTTTTTACATTAAAAGGTCCCGAACGTTCGCGTCCCACGGATGTGCCCATATGTATACTAAAAAAGATAAAACTACATATGCGAAAATTTGTTTAAAATTTTTTATTAAACTTTTATTAAACTTACAGAACTTAACCCGAAATTGTATCAATTTGGACGATAATTTTTATATATTTTGACATTACAAACTCAGGAAAAGTCGAAATAAATAAGTTTATTTTTTGTTTTATATTTTGGTAGCGCATCCAGCAAACTTTGTCTCGCCTTAATTTACCGCCTTCAGATAAGGAACGAGAAGGAACGTGTGAATCGCTTCTGGGGACGCGACTCTACTTATACCCGTACTCAGTCAGTATATACATTTTTGAGCTTATGATTTTTTAGAATTTTAGAAAAAAAAAAATTTTACATATTACATTTTTTTGCTACATCTGCTATCTACATATACAATGTATATTCTACATCTAACATGTAGATTGTACATGTTCCATTTCGATTCTACATCTCCTCCGCTAGGGGTTGCTCGCGCACTGAACGCGGCAGAGTGTGCGAGCGAGAAGGAAAATTAATTGTGTTGTCGTTTGCTGAAGGGGGAAGGGGAAGCAGCTGAAAATGAATTTCTTCATTCTGGCTATAATTATGATCCGATCTGATTCAGATTCGGCAATCTGGTAGATATGGTCATTCTCTACGATACTGCGTTTTGTTTAATCGTATCTTTAAAATTGTGGCTGCCACAGATTTTCGTCCTTTGTGGGTGGGGAAGGGGGCGGGGCGAAATTTTGAAATACACTTGTAGCAGTGTGATATCACATGAGTCTGGAAACAAAATTTGGTTCCTCTAGGTTTTATAGTCTCTGAGATCCAGGCGTCAAACAAGACGGACAGATGGACACACAGACATGGCTCTATCGAATCGGCTATTGATGCTGATCAAGAATATATATACTTTATGGGGTCGGACAATTTTCCTTCTCTGCGTTACACACATCCACTTTTACCACAAATCTAATATACCCCTTAACTCTTTTTTGAGTACGGGTATAAAAATCCACAGTGATAATAAAACACTGTCTGGTTTCCCAGCCTGATATTCCCCAACAAATTCCTCAAAATAGCCAGTGGAGCAAATTAACGTAATTCCAAGTATGTTTGCTATTTGCATTGCCCACTGCATATAAATATTGTAACCGATTATACTTACTCACGGCAGCGGCCGTTCTTTCGCCTCTTTATAACTCCTTCTTCATTTACTACTGCAGCTGCAGCATCTATACCATTCACTCGCATTCTCTCTCTCTATCTATCGCTCATGCTCGGCTCAGCAGCAGCCCGAGCCTCTCTCGGTTCTTTCGTTCTCTCTATCGCTTGCATTGGGGCACGGGCAATGAGGTCCGCCTGCCCTCTTTTAGTCTTTAATTGATCGTCATCATTATCGCACTCACGTTCTACAGTCTAGATCAATCACTCACTTCTCTCGCATATTGAACAGACCCTGCGTCTTCAATTTTCCTCACTTTGATTTGATCAACCGGCACATCTCGCTTTTATTTCGCTACACCTACGCACCCCATATTTCGCCTACTTAACAAATAAACTGTACACACATAAAGTATATTGAATCCGCTCGACTTCTTAATTTAATCTAAATTCAACAGCTAGTGAAAATGCTCGCTAGCTCAACAAAAACAGATGGTTAAAATTTCAATATGATTTATTTAAATGGAATCGAAATCAGTGAAAAATCGGTGAACTGAATTCTCTTTTGTTGTTATTTAAGATTGATGAGTGACCGAAAAGCTGTGATGTCCTTTGGTCTGAGTCTTGAAGTCGTATTTCTGCCATTTCTGCGAGCTCATTTCCTGCAAGGTCAAGACCCTGCAGGCATAAGATCGCGTTTATCGCATTATTTGGTGTGGTGCGGAGAGCTGCACTGAGGGGCAGTTCGTTGAACTTTGGCCCTTTTCGAAAGGGCTGGACACCATTCTGTTAGCTATTGTCAGGTAGCTATAGTAAGAAGGCTACGATAGCCCTCCACACTTGCAAAAAGGACATTGGCCTGAAATGGGGCATGAACTCAGGTATAGTCCCATGGTTATATCTATATCCATATGTATAGAGCTATCGTAGCCTTCTTCAATCTTTCTTTGATATGAATGTTTCAGTTGAGCTTCCTGTCAATAACCAACCCAAAGTAACTGGCGCTGTCGCTGAAGGAGAGCCCGCATTCATTTAATATTGGGGGGTTGAGTGGTGGATTTTTGTACTTATTTGTGAATAACACGCGAAAAAAGTGATTTTGTATTTGTTTCCTTTCCATAGTTGAAGATGAGTTCATTATTCATCAATTGCCTATTTGCTTGACTAATGTCTGCTAAGTAGGCGAAGAGGCAATTGTCATAGATGAGTTCTAAACTCGAGTTATTATGCATCAATTGAGTTGTAGAC